ACTAAAATGCAATAAAAATCTCAATTTTGCTAAAAAATTCCCAGAACCTGATTTTCCTAGCAATCAACCCATATATCAATTAATTCAGCAAACAAGCTATTCAATTATTGAGAGAGACACCATCGAAAGTTCCATGATGCCCTCAGTGAACTAAGTAAAAAAATGACTAAAAGAATTGATCCCACTACCGCCTAAAAATGACTTTCTCAAAGTAGTTTTAATTACTGTAGCCGTTACCATTATTTTATTTGGTATTTATTATGGTAGATCATATTTATTAAATGTAGCAATTAGAGGTATATTAGAATTCTTCGAAGCAGCAGAAGCTGGTACAATCGCTGCTGAACTTGGTGCTGTAGAAGATGTTGTAGCAGCATCATCTGAAGGAATGATAGAAATGACTAATTCAGAAGCTGAAGCGTTAAAAAATCCAGCCAATTTAGGAAGATTCAGAATTGGTTGCTCTACGAGCAGAGAATTTTCTGCAATGAAGGAAATGTCGACATACTATCAAGAATCTAGTAACCCAAATATTCAATAATCCCTTGAATCATTGAGTAGGGCTTCGGGTTTCCCAATAGAAAAGAGGGATACAGGGGATACAAGAGTGATGGATAATGTAGGATTTTTACGGTTAACATGGTTGTAAATAGTTTCTTTCTTCTAAGTTTGATGGGTAATGTTCTTCAATCATTTACTGGAGTCATAAAAATTTCTGGTTTTTGTGTGGTTTTTACTGGGTTAGAAAATACTATTCATCACGCTAATAATTTTCATTTTTTGTATTTTTTATTTGATAGATGTTAAAACACGGTTAGTTTTTATTTAATTTTTCCAAGTATGATTCAACATCAATTTATATATAAATTATTGATAAGACGTGCTGAAGTACCTATGGTAGTTATGGGTTTGATGCTTGGTGAATTCGTGTAAGTGTAATTGATGCATTTGCTATGCCTCAAAGTGGTACAGGTTTTCAGTAGAAGCGGTCGATCCCAAAACTGTTGGATGGTATGAATTGAAGTTCTTTTGTGTGTGAGATTATTGAGGTTCATGTCTGATTTCGATTAATGAATTTTATAGACCCTAAATGGTGGTTGGCTGGTATCACTCTCACCCTGGATTTGGATGTTGGCTGTCTAGTGTAGATATAAATACACAACAAAGTTTTGAGGCATTGAATCAAAGGGCTGTTGTTGTTGATCCGATATAGTCTGTCAAAGGCAAAGTAGTTATTGATACTTTTCGCCTGATCAATCCTCAAATACTTATGCTAGGTCAAGAGCCACGTCAAACCACTTCCAATATTGGACATCTTAAAAAACCAAGTATTCAAGTATGATCATTAATTTAAATCTGTTTTGATTTTAAAGTTTATATTCGTTAAATCTTTGATTTATCTTTACTTAGGCTTTGATCCATGGATTGAATCGTCATTATTATTAGATTGCTATTAATTATCGAAAGAATGAATTAGAACAGAAAATGTTGCTCATTTTGCACAAAAAAATTTGGACCCATGGATTGACGCTGCCAAACTTTACGGAACACACCGTGATCAATGGAAAGAGAGTCAATGTAAAGATTAGATTTACCTTTCCTTCCAAAAAAGATTTTTTTTTTCGATTTGCTTATGAAAAAATTTCAAACGATGCTTACATTGGCGGACGCTTATAATAAACAATTGAAAACTCGTTGGAAAACAGGATCCGAAGCGTCATTTGGAGGAAAGTGAGGAAGACGTTATGTCCAATAATATTATAAAGATACTGGGTATTATGATTGATTCAGTCAGTTTCATAGATACAAATCAAAAAATAAAATACAGGGATAGCCATTATTTAATTTACCAATTTTGTCGAAACGCAAACTTTTTGTATTTGAAACAATTAATACTTTTAAATACATAGAATGAATGAAATAAATTTTGAAATTTTAAATAGTATAAAATTACAGCATTCATAAATCTCAACCCATGTTTAAAAAATTTAAAATTGATCGGAAATGACACGAGAATAATTTTCTTTGTTATTGTTATACTCATCAATAAATTCATTGGAGCTTACATCATTACCACTAAAGTTAGTAGGCAAATTTATTAGCCGAAATTCAATACGCCAAATTTAGAATTAAATTAACATATTTGGAAATAAAAAAGCATGCCTTTGTATAAATAAACATTTTTTTCATTTTTCACGCGGTTATTTTTTTTATTTTTTCACGCGTTTATCCTTTTTTTTTCCTTTATAAAGAAACAAAAAAGCGGACAAGTATTTGAGCACATCTTTCTCATAGTACCTTATACATAACTATGACCAAGCTATTGTTCTTTCTTTTTCGTAGCCTTTTCACAAAAAAATTTTTCTCATAATGAACCGCGCCCACCTTGAATAAACTGTCACAGCTTTTATCTTTCTCTCAGCGAGAGACTATCTAAAAAACTTTATTTTTGCCTTAGCTGATATCTGGATTTCAAAACTTAATCTGCTGGTAAGCCCATTATTCATTTTCTTTAATGTAGTGCCCTATCATTATCGACAATAGTTTCCTCTCGTTATTCGTGAAATATGGACGAATATTCTCCATTACAAAAAATATTTTTTCCATGATATTTACTCCTAAGCGTCGCCGATATTTCGATCTATCGCATCTATTACCTTCGACGTGACTATTTTTACTTAGATTCCATGATTAATTCCCTTTCCACTTCTTTTTCTAGAATTTATTTTTAAATCGATGAAGATATCTGGAAATAACTTTTTATTTCGTGTTCCGATTTCTAACTCACCCTTCTTCCTTTTTCTCCCGATAAAGACAACTCATATTGACAAGACTAAAAAAATTCAAAAAAATGTGCTGTACCTTATTAATGTTAATATTCTTAATTTTATTAGTCAACAACGAAGAAGTGGAAGCGGCAAATACGGTATACAATCATTTGATTTTCATAACATTTTTTTTTTATTAATTTTCTTATTAAGGATGGGGGGGACCGACTATAATTGTTTACAATTAAAAAGGACCGGTACAACTGCTCATGAATGTAAGGGTCTGCGATTTCTGTTATAAGAATTGCTATGCATCTTCCCTTATGTTTATAAAACTTATTTCACGAGTGGGTGCTCACGCAACCCGAGTCCTGTTGGATATCTCTCATCCTTGTAGCGCTTGTAGTGCATCGAAAGTCGACCAAGCCGAGCAGTATTGGATACCCCATCCTTGGAACGAAGCCGATACTTGTAAGTTACTTATTTTATATATTATATTTCTTCCTGATCTTTTTAGCCTTGTCATATGAGTTGTTATATAAGTGCACTCGTATAATTTAAATAAAAATTGTTAATAAAAACAAATAAAGTTTACCATGATTTTTTAAAAAATGTTTGTAATGTAAATATATAAATAAAGTTTCTATGAAATATTTTATTTATTCCTTTTAATACAGTTTTCATATTTGTTATTTAAATTATTGCGAAGAGGTCACATAATAAATAATTTACTGATATAAATTTTATTTAATTGTGTTATAAATATTGAAAGATAATGATATTTTACAAAGAATCTTTCACCATAAATACATAGAAGTAAAAAATTTATAATTTTATCTCTGTTTTTATTTAAGGAATTTGAATGACATTATTTTTAGTACACAAAGTCGTTTCGTTGGTTATTTTTTAAAAGTAAGTTATTTCTTTTTTTGGAAAAGCAAATTATAGTTAAACGTCTTGAAATTTTTTCTACTATAATAATAATAAAATTCTGCGTCCCGCAAATTTCTTAAATATCACATAGGGTATGCGATAACTTAAAATCTCGTGATGCAATATGCAATAATATTACCCGCTTACTAATTGTTCGCCCGTGAAGTTTCATATTGATATTTTACCAGATTCACTACCGGAGTTGAATTTTCCGTGAAAATAGTAATATGACGCAATTATCAAACAAAAATCGTACCGCAAAAAGTTTAATATAATTTTTATATAAAAATCATTTAAAAATATTATATTAATACAAGCATTATTTATAATTATAAATAAAAATTATTTAAAGTAAAAGTTAACATTTTGAAAGTGACAATTATTAAACTTCGGAGCCTCTTCTTTACTACTATTATTGAAAGGTATATTAATTGGTAAATCTTGTGATTCAAGATTTGTAATTTGAAAAGTTTGTAATGGTTTCTTATTGTAATCTTGAATTTTTTGCACAGGTTCGTAAATTTCTTGATCAATATTTTGAACTTGATTTTGAGATTCTTGGTTCTTTATATTATAAGTAGAAATAAGTTGCTGCAGGTATTCATTTTTTGTTGATCATTTGGCACTTTATATTTTCGTACTGCATCAACACTTCGATGTCCAGTAATATTCATAATAATTTGTTCTTCTACATTTATATCTTGCATTAGTTGTGCTGATGTTTTTCGCCCAGAATGATTAGTTAATAAGCCATCAATTTCAATGCCAGTTTCATGAATAAGATCCTTCATGAATTTAGATAGTGAATTCTTGCCAATATGTTGCTTACAATACCAGTTTCCAGTTTCTTTCCCTAATAAATTATAAGTTTGTAAAATTTATAAAATTGTTATAAAATAATTATAATTAACTTACATTTTGGATCTGTTTGTAAATAATAATTTGAATCTGCATCCAATGGTCTTTTTTAAAAATATAATTGATAATCATAGCATGATCCTTGAAAATTAAATGAATCAGCTGAAATTGGAATCTTTTGTGCTATGCCTCCTGTTGTTCCTCTTTGATTATTTTTGAATGAAATATTTGAAAATTAATTCCACCATCATCTCGAAAATTAAATTGATCAACTGTTAACTGATAATGCTCACCACCTCGACAAGCTAAAAGAAAGGCATTATGAAAAAATATTCTTTAATGAGTGTATCAGGAGTTAATGTTAATGTTGCTTGATTTGATAAAATGTTTGCAATATTTTGTCAAGTTAAAGCAGCAGATCCTTTTATTTCTCCAAGTCCTTTATCTTGTAATTCTTTCATTTTACCATCAAGAACTTTTGTTAATATAGGAAATTGATGATGATTATGTAAATTGATTCTATGAATAGTTGAAAATTCTATTAAATATCAATTAATCCCATCAACAGCTTATTTTATTGATAAGGCTCTATATTCAGTTTCGTCTTTTTTTTCATAGTAGCAATAAAACTTGCCACCTGATTTTCTAATATAGATATATCTGAAATAAGATTTAATGAAATATTGTATTAATCATCTTGTGGATAAGATTCAATCATATTTTTCAAAATTTTTCAAAAAGTTCAAGCCAGTTTTTTATTGCCCTTTCTGTATTTTGAACTTGTGACTTGTTTTGATAAAATAAAATCGTCTTTTTAACATCAGTATTTTGTATGTTTAGGTTGTAAATTTGGATGATTTAAAAGTTCACAAGCAGTATTAAATTTTACGGCTTTCTTTGATTTTATTTTTTGAGAAATAAAATTAAAAAAAAAATTTAAAAAAAAAATTGTAAAAAAAAATTATTTATTTATCAATTATTATATTAATTAATTAAATTATTTTTAAAAAAATGAATTCAGAATTATTTGAATCTCTTTATAATAATTTGAAAAATATATAAAAAATCAAAATTTTGATTTATTTAATTTTTTAA